TAAATATCTATGAATGTATTACATCTATATATTTCAAAAAAATAAATCGAATTTTTTTTCTACTTTTTCCCCAATTCAAATTTTCCTTATATAAAAAAGTACAAAAAAATTTCGCTAAAATTTTCAAAAAATATCTATGTATATATCATTGATAATTAATTAATAACAATTTAATGATAATATAATAAAAATAAATAATATATTACATAATTAATTAATAAATATTAAATTGATAATAATAATAATAGATTATATATTTTATAAAAAATAATAACAATAATGATATAAATATAATAAAATTATTAATATTATAATTATTATTATTTTTACATACTGAAGTACATTAAGTAAATTAATATTTTTTTATTAAGAAGCCATATAATTAACAAAAAAAAAATAAATTCAATAGTGAAAATAGTTTTATATTGCTCTATTAACGTTTTCTTATTATTAAGCATTTTATATAAGCGCGCTTTTTTCGACCTATAAGAGAGTTGTTGTAGCGCAAGCGCAGTAGCGTTTAGGTAGGGTCATTGGCAACTCTGCACGGGGTCGGTGTCGTTTTTCGAAATTTGTTAACTTAATATAATAGAAGACATTTCGTTTTAAATTAAGAAATGTTAAAATTATTAAGTTAAAAACATTTGATTTTAATGACACTTAAAATTAGACACAATATTATAGGTTATTAACTAAAAATTGAAAAAACAACAATAATTAATAAAAAATAATAATAAAAAATTGAAAAAATCAAAACATTCTTAAAAATTGCAAAATAACCCTTTTTCGGGTTAAAATTGCAAAATAACCCTTTTTCGGGTTACAATTAAAAAATTACCCTTTTTCGGGTTAAAATTGAAAAAAAAATGTTACATAAAAATAGTTTTTAAGATTTTCTAACAGCATATATGCAAAGTAATTTGATTTATTTGAAAATAATTGAAAATAGATTTTTCAAGGACGGTGTCGAGGTCACGGGGTCGGTGTCGTTATTCGAAATTTGTTAACTTAATATAATAGAAGATGTTTCGTTTTAAATTAAGAAATGTTAAAATTATTAAGTTAAAAACATTTGATTTTAATGACACTTAAAATTAGACACAATATTATAGGTTATTAACTAAAAATTGAAAAAACAACAATAATTAATAAAAAATAATAATAAAAAATTGAAAAAATCAAAACATTCTTAAAAATTGCAAAATAACCCTTTTTCGGGTTAAAATTGCAAAATAACCCTTTTTCGGGTTACAATTAAAAAATTACCCTTTTTCGGGTTAAAATTGAAAAAAAAATGTTACATAAAAATAGTTTTTAAGATTTTCTAACAGCATATATGCAAAGTAATTTGATTTATTTGAAAATAATTGAAAATAGATTTTTCAAGGACGGTGTCGAGGTCACGGGGTCGGTGTCGTTTTTCGAAATTTGTTAACTTAATATAATAGAAGACATTTCGTTTTAAATTAAGAAATGTTAAAATTATTAAGTTAAAAACATTTGATTTTAATGACACTTAAAATTAGACACAATATTATAGGTTACTAACTAAAAATTGAAAAAACAACAATAAATAATAAAAAATTGAAAAAATCAAAAAATTCTTAAAAAATTGCAAAATAACCCTTTTTCGGGTTGAAATTGAAAAAAGATGTTACATAAAAATAGTTTGTAAAATTTTCTAGCAGCATATATGCAAAGTATTTTGATTTATTTGAAAATAATTGAAAATAGATTTGTCAAGGACGGTGTCGAGGTCACGGGGTCGGTGTCGTTTTTCGAAATTTGTTAACTTAATATAATAGAAGACATTTCGTTTTAAATTAAGAAATGTTAAAATTATTAAGTTAAAAACATTTGATTTTAATGACACTTAAAATTAGACACAATATTATAGGTTACTAACTAAAAATTGAAAAAACAACAATAAATAATAAAAAATAATAATAAAAAATTGAAAAAATTAAAAACTACTTAAAAAATTGCAAAATGACCCTTTTTTGGGTTAAAATTGAAAAAAAATGTTACATAAAAATAGTTTGTAAGACTTTCTAACAGCATATATGCAAAGTATTTTGATTTATTTGAAAATAATTGAAAATAGATTTTTCAAGGACGGTGTCGAGGTCACGGGGTCGGTGTCGTTTTTCGAAATTTGTTAACTTAATATAATAGAAGATGTTTCGTTTTAAATTAAGAAATGTTAAAATTATTAAGTTAAAAACATTTGATTTTAATGACACTTAAAATTAGACACAATATTATAGGTTACTAACTAAAAATTGCAAAAACAACAATAAATAATAAAAAATAATAATAAAAAATTGAAAAAATCAAAAAATTCTTAAAAAATTGCAAAATAACCCTTTTTCGGGTTGAAATTGAAAAAAGATGTTACATAAAAATAGTTTGTAAAATTTTCTAGCAGCATATATGCAAAGTATTTTGATTTATTTGAAAATAATTGAAAATAGATTTGTCAAGGACGGTGTCGAGGTCACGGGGTCGGTGTCGTTTTTCGAAATTTGTTAACTTAATATAATAGAAGATGTTTCGTTTTAAATTAAGAAATGTTAAAATTATTAAGTTAAAAACATTTGATTTTAATGACACTTAAAATTAGACACAATATTATAGGTTATTAACTAAAAATAGAAAAAACAACAATAATTAATAAAAAATAATAATAAAAAATTGAAAAAATCAAAACATTCTTAAAAATTGCAAAATAACCCTTTTTCGGGTTAAAATTGCAAAATAACCCTTTTTCGGGTTAAAATTGCAAAATAACCCTTTTTCGGGTTACAATTAAAAAATTACCCTTTTTCGGGTTAAAATTGAAAAAAAAATGTTACATAAAAATAGTTTTTAAGATTTTCTAACAGCATATATGCAAAGTAATTTGATTTATTTGAAAATAATTGAAAATAGATTTTTCAAGGACGGTGTCGAGGTCACGGGGTCGGTGTCGTTTTTCGAAATTTGTTAACTTAATATAATAGAAGACATTTCGTTTTAAATTAAGAAATGTTAAAATTATTAAGTTAAAAACATTTGATTTTAATGACACTTAAAATTAGACACAATATTATAGGTTACTAACTAAAAATTGAAAAAACAACAATTAATAATAAAAAATAATAATAAAAAATTGAAAAAATTAAAAAATTCTTAAAAAATTGCAAGATGACCCTTTTTTGGGTTAAAATTGAAAAAAAATGTTACATAAAAATAGTTTGTAAGACTTTCTAACAGCATATATGCAAAGTATTTTGATTTATTTGAAAATAATTGAAAATAGATTTTTCAAGGACGGTGTCGAGGTCACGGGGTCGGTGTCGTTTTTCGAAATTTGTTAACTTAATATAATAGCAGATGTTTCGTTTTAAATTAAGAAATGTTAAAATTATTAAGTTAAAAACATTTGATTTTAATGACACTTAAAATTAGACACAATATTATAGGTTACTAACTAAAAATTGAAAAAACAACAATAAATAATAAAAAATAATAATAAAAAATTGAAAAAATCAAAAAATTCTTAAAAAATTGCAAAATAACCCTTTTCGGTTAAAATCGAAAAATAACCCTTTTTCGGTTTAAAATTGAAAAAAGATGTTACATAAAAATAGTTTGTAAGATTTTCTAACAGCATATATGCAAAGTATTTTGATTTATTTGAAAATAATTGAAAATAGATTTTTCAAGGACGGTGTCGAGGTCACGGGGTCGGTGTCGTTTTTCGAAATTTGTTAACTTAATATAATAGAAGATGTTTCGTTTTAAATTAAGAAATGTTAAAATTATTAAGTTAAAAACATTTGATTTTAATGACACTTAAAATTAGACACAATATTATAGGTTACTAACTAAAAATTGAAAAAACAACAATAAATAATAAAAAATAATAATAAAAAATTGAAAAAATTAAAAAATTCTTAAAAAATTGCAAAATGACCCTTTTTTGGGTTAAAATTGAAAAAAAATGTTACATAAAAATAGTTTGTAAGACTTTCTAACAGCATATATGCAAAGTATTTTGATTTATTTGAAAATAATTGAAAATAGATTTTTCAAGGACGGTGTCGAGGTCACGGGGTCGGTGTCGTTTTTCGAAATTTGTTAACTTAATATAATAGAAGATGTTTCGTTTTAAATTAAGAAATGTTAAAATTATTAAGTTAAAAACATTTGATTTTAATGACACTTAAAATTAGACACAATATTATAGGTTACTAACTAAAAATTGAAAAAACAACAATAAATAATAAAAAATAATAATAAAAAATTGAAAAAATCAAAAAATTCTTAAAAAATTGCAAAATAACCCTTTTTCGGGTTAAAATCGAAAAATAACCCTTTTTCGGTTTAAAATTGAAAAAAGATGTTACATAAAAATAGTTTGTAAGATTTTCTAACAGCATATATGCAAAGTATTTTGATTTATTTGAAAATAATTGAAAATAGATTTTTCAAGGACGGTGTCGAGGTCACGGGGTCGGTGTCGTTTTTCGAAATTTGTTAACTTAATATAATAGAAGATGTTTCGTTTTAAATTAAGAAATGTTAAAATTATTAAGTTAAAAACATTTGATTTTAATGACACTTAAAATTAGACACAATATTATAGGTTACTAACTAAAAATTGAAAAAACAACAATAAATAATAAAAAATAATAATAAAAAATTGAAAAAATTAAAAAATTCTTAAAAAATTGCAAAATGACCCTTTTTTGGGTTAAAATTGAAAAAAAATGTTACATAAAAATAGTTTGTAAGACTTTCTAACAGCATATATGCAAAGTATTTTGATTTATTTGAAAATAATTGAAAATAGATTTTTCAAGGACGGTGTCGAGGTCACGGGGTCGGTGTCGTTTTTCGAAATTTGTTAACTTAATATAATAGAAGATGTTTCGTTTTAAATTAAGAAATGTTAAAATTATTAAGTTAAAAACATTTGATTTTAATGACACTTAAAATTAGACACAATATTATAGGTTACTAACTAAAAATTGAAAAAACAACAATAAATAATAAAAAATAATAATAAAAAATTGAAAAAATCAAAAAATTCTTAAAAAATTGCAAAATAACCCTTTTTCGGGTTAAAATCGAAAAATAACCCTTTTTCGGGTTAAAATTGAAAAAAGATGTTACATAAAAATAGTTTGTAAGATTTTCTAACAGCATATATGCAAAGTATTTTGATTTATTTGAAAATAATTGAAAATAGATTTTTCAAGGACGGTGTCGAGGTCACGGGGTCGGTGTCGTTTTTCGAAATTTGTTAACTTAATATAATAGAAGATGTTTCGTTTTAAATTAAGAAATGTTAAAATTATTAAGTTAAAAACATTTGATTTTAATGACACTTAAAATTAGACACAATATTATAGGTTACTAACTAAAAATTGAAAAAACAACAATAAATAATAAAAAATAATAATAAAAAATTGAAAAAATTAAAAAATTCTTAAAAAATTGCAAAATGACCCTTTTTTGGGTTAAAATTGAAAAAAAATGTTACATAAAAATAGTTTGTAAGACTTTCTAACAGCATATATGCAAAGTATTTTGATTTATTTGAAAATAATTGAAAATAGATTTTTCAAGGACGGTGTCGAGGTCACGGGGTCGGTGTCGTTTTTCGAAATTTGTTAACTTAATATAATAGAAGATGTTTCGTTTTAAATTAAGAAATGTTAAAATTATTAAGTTAAAAACATTTGATTTTAATGACACTTAAAATTAGACACAATATTATAGGTTACTAACTAAAAATTGAAAAAACAACAATAAATAATAAAAAATAATAATAAAAAATTGAAAAAATCAAAAAAATTCTTAAAAAATTGCAAAATAACCCTTTTTCGGGTTAAAATCGAAAAATAACCCTTTTGCGGTTTAAAATTGAAAAAAGATGTTACATAAAAATAGTTTGTAAGATTTTCTAACAGCATATATGCAAAGTATTTTGATTTATTTGTAAATAATTGAAAATAGATTTTTCAAGGACAGTGTCGAGGTCACGGGGTCGGTGTCGTTTTTCGAAATTTGTTAACTTAATATAATAGAAGATGTTTCGTTTTAAATTAAGAAATGTTAAAATTATTAAGTTAAAAACATTTGATTTTAATGACACTTAAAATTAGACACAATATTATAGGTTACTAACTAAAAATTGAAAAAACAACAATAAATAATAAAAAATAATAATAAAAAATTGAAAAAATCAAAAAATTCTTAAAAAATTGCAAAATAACCCTTTTTCGGGTTAAAATTGAAAAAAGATGTTACATAAAAATAGTTTGTAAGATTTTCTAACAGCATATATGCAAAGTATTTTGATTTATTTGAAAATAATTGAAAATAGATTTTTCAAGGACGGTGTCGAGGTCACGGGGTCGGTGTCGTTTTTCGAAATTTGTTAACTTAATATAATAGAAGATGTTTCGTTTTAAATTAAGAAATGTTAAAATTATTAAGTTAAAAACATTTGATTTTAATGACACTTAAAATTAGACACAATATTATAGGTTACTAACTAAAAATTGAAAAAACAACAATAAATAATAAAAAATAATAATAAAAAATTGAAAAAATTAAAAAATTCTTAAAAAATTGCAAAATGACCCTTTTTTGGGTTAAAATTGAAAAAAGATGTTACATAAAAATAGTTTGTAAGATTTTCTAACAGCATATATGCAAAGTATTTTGATTTATTTGAAAATAATTGAAAATAGATTTTTCAAGGACGGTGTCGAGGTCACGGGGTCGGTGTCGTTTTTCGAAATTTGTTAACTTAATATAATAGAAGATGTTTCGTTTTAAATTAAGAAATGTTAAAATTATTAAGTTAAAAACATTTGATTTTAATGACACTTAAAATTAGACACAATATTATAGGTTACTAACTAAAAATTGAAAAAACAACAATAAATAATAAAAAATTGAAAAAATCAAAAAATTCTTAAAAAATTGCAAAATAACCCTTTTTCGGGTTAAAATCGAAAAATAACCCTTTTTCGGGTTAAAATTGAAAAAAGATGTTACATAAAAATAGTTTGTAAGATTTTCTAACAGCATATATGCAAAGTATTTTGATTTATTTGAAAATAATTGAAAATAGATTTTTCAAGGACGGTGTCGAGGTCACGGGGTCGGTGTCGTTTTTCGAAATTTGTTAACTTAATATAATAGAAGATGTTTCGTTTTAAATTAAGAAATGTTAAAATTATTAAGTTAAAAACATTTGATTTTAATGACACTTAAAATTAGACACAATATTATAGGTTACTAACTAAAAATTGAAAAAACAACAATAAATAATAAAAAATAATAATAAAAAATTGAAAAAATTAAAAAATTCTTAAAAAATTGCAAAATAACCCTTTTTCGGGTTAAAATTGAAAAAAGATGTTACATAAAAATAGTTTGTAAGATTTTCTAACAGCATATATGCAAAGTATTTTGATTTATTTGAAAATAATTGAAAATAGATTTTTCAAGGACGGTGTCGAGGTCACGGGGTCGGTGTCGTTTTTCGAAATTTGTTAACTTAATATAATAGAAGATGTTTCGTTTTAAATTAAGAAATGTTAAAATTATTACGTTAAAAACATTTGATTTTAATGACACTTAAAATTAGACACAATATTATAGGTTACTAACTAAAAATTGAAAAAACAACAATAAATAATAAAAAATTGAAAAAATCAAAAAATTCTTAAAAAATTGCAAAATAACCCTTTTTCGGGTTAAAATTGAAAAAAGATGTTACATAAAAATAGTTTGTAAGATTTTCTAACAGCATATATGCAAAGTATTCTGATTTATTTGAAAATAATTGAAAATAGATTTTTCAAGGACGGTGTCGAGGTCACGGGGTCGGTGTCGTTTTTCGAAATTTGTTAACTTAATATAATAGAAGATGTTTCGTTTTAAATTAGGAAATGTTAAAATTATTAAGTTAAAAACATTTGATTTTAATGACACTTAAAATTAGACACAATATTATAGGTTATTAACTAAAAATTGAAAAAACAACAATAAATAATAAAAAATAATAATAAAAAATTGAAAAAATTAAAAAATTCTTAAAAAATTGCAAAATGCTCCTTTTTTGGGTTAAAATTGAAAAAAAATGTTACATAAAAATAGTTTGTAAGACTTTCTAACAGCATATATGCAAAGTATTTTGATTTATTTGAAAATAATTGAAAATAGATTTTTCAAGGACGGTGTCGAGGTCACGGGGTCGGTGTCGTTTTTCGAAATTTGTTAACTTAATATAATAGAAGATGTTTCGTTTTAAATTAAGAAATGTTAAAATTATTAAGTTAAAAACATTTGATTTTAATGACACTTAAAATTAGACACAATATTATAGGTTACTAACTAAAAATTGAAAAAACAACAATAAATAATAAAAAATAATAATAAAAAATTGAAAAAATTAAAAAATTCTTAAAAAATTGCAAAATAACCCTTTTTCGGGTTAAAATTGAAAAAAGATGTTTCATAAAAATAGTTTGTAAGATTTTCTAACAGCATATATGCAAAGTATTTTGATTTATTTGAAAATAATTGAAAATAGATTTTTCAAGGACGGTGTCGAGGTCACGGGGTCGGTGTCGTTTTTCGAAATTTGTTAACTTAATATAATAGAAGATGTTTCGTTTTAAATTAAGAAATGTTAAAATTATTAAGTTAAAAACATTTGATTTTAATGACACTTAAAATTAGACACAATATTATAGGTTACTAACTAAAAATTGAAAAAACAACAATAAATAATAAAAAATAATAATAAAAAATTGAAAAAATTAAAAAATTCTTAAAAAATTGCAAAATGAACCTTTTTTGGGTTAAAATTGATAAAAAATGTTACATAAAAATAGTTTGTAAGACTTTCTAACAGCATATATGCAAAGTATTTTGATTTATTTGAAAATAATTGAAAATAGATTTTTCAAGGACGGTGTCGAGGTCACGGGGTCGGTGTCGTTTTTCGAAATTTGTTAACTTAATATAATAGAAGATGTTTCGTTTTAAATTAAGAAATGTTAAAATTATTAAGTTAAAAACATTTGATTTTAATGACACTTAAAATTAGACACAATATTATAGGTTACTAACTAAAAATTGAAAAAACAACAATAAATAATAAAAAATAATAATAAAAAATTGAAAAAATCAAAAAATTCTTAAAAAATTGCAAAATAACCCTTTTTCGGGTTAAAATCGAAAAATAACCCTTTTTCGGTTTAAAATTGAAAAAAGATGTTACATAAAAATAGTTTTTAAGATTTTCTAACAGCATATATGCAAAGTAATTTGATTTATTTGAAAATAATTGAAAATAGATTTTTCAAGGACGGTGTCGAGGTCACGGGGTCGGTGTCGTTTTTCGAAATTTGTTAACTTAATATAATAGAAGATGTTTCGTTTTAAATTAAGAAATGTTAAAATTATTAAGTTAAAAACATTTGATTTTAATGACACTTAAAATTAGACACAATATTATAGGTTACTAACTAAAAATTGAAAAAACAACAATAAATAATAAAAAATAATAATAAAAAATTGAAAAAATCAAAAAATTCTTAAAAAATTGCAAAATAACCCTTTTTCGGGTTAAAATCGAAAAATAACCCTTTTTCGGGTTAAAATTGAAAAAAGATGTTACATAAAAATAGTTTGTAAGATTTTCTAACAGCATATATGCAAAGTATTTTGATTTATTTGAAAATAATTGAAAATAGATTTTTCAAGGACGGTGTCGAGGTCACGGGGTCGGTGTCGTTTTTCGAAATTTGTTAACTTAATATAATAGAAGATGTTTCGTTTTAAATTAAGAAATGTTAAAATTGTTAAGTTAAAAACATTTGATTTTAATGACACTTAAAATTAGACACAATATTATAGGTTACTAACTAAAAATTGAAAAAACAACAATAAATAATAAAAAATAATAATAAAAAATTGAAAAAATCAAAAAATTCTTAAAAAATTGCAAAATAACCCTTTTTCGGGTTAAAATCGAAAAATAACCCTTTTTCGTGTTAAAATTGCAAAATAACCCTTTTTCGGGTTACAATTAAAAAATTACCCTTTTTCGGGTTAAAATTAAAAAATTACCCTTTTTCGGGTTAAAATTGAAAAAAAAATGTTACATAAAAATAGTTTTTAAGATTTTCTAACAGCATATATGCAAAGTAATTTGATTTATTTGAAAATAATTGAAAATAGATTTTTCAAGGACGGTGTCGAGGTCACGGGGTCGGTGTCGTTTTTCGAAATTTGTTAACTTAATATAATAGAAGACATTTCGTTTTAAATTAAGAAATGTTAAAATTATTAAGTTAAAAACATTTGATTTTAATGACACTTAAAATTAGACACAATATTATAGGTTACTAACTAAAAATTGAAAAAACAACAATAAATAATAAAAAATAATAATAAAAAATTGAAAAAATTAAAAAATTGCAAAATGACCCTTTTTTGGGTTAAAATTGATAAAAAATGTTACATAAAAATAGTTTGTAAAACTTTCTAACAGCATATATGCAAAGTATTTTGATTTATTTGAAAATAATTGAAAATAGATTTTTCAAGGACGGTGTCGAGGTCACGGGGTCGGTGTCGTTTTTCGAAATTTGTTAACTTAATATAATAGAAGATGTTTCGTTTTAAATTAAGAAATGTTAAAATTATTACGTTAAAAACATTTGATTTTAATGACACTTAAAATTAGACACAATATTATAGGTTACTAACTAAAAATTGAAAAAACAACAATAAATAATAAAAAATAATAATAAAAAATTGAAAAAATCAAAAAATTCTTAAAAAATTGCAAAATAACCCTTTTTCGGGTTAAAATTGAAAAAAGATGTTACATAAAAATAGTTTGTAAGATTTTCTAACAGCATATATGCAAAGTATTTTGATTTATTTGAAAATAATTGAAAATAGATTTTTCAAGGACGGTGTCGAGGTCACGGGGTCGGTGTCGTTTTTCGAAATTTGTTAACTTAATATAATAGAAGATGTTTCGTTTTAAATTAAGAAATGTTAAAATTATTAAGTTAAAAACATTTGATTTTAATGACACAATTTAAATTAGACACAATATTATAGGTTACTAACTAAAAATTGAAAAAACAACAATAAATAATAAAAAATAATAATAAAAAATTGAAAAAATTCTTAAAAAATTGCAAAATGACCCTTTTTTGGGTTAAAATTGAAAAAAAATGTTACATAAAAATAGTTTGTAAGACTTTCTAACAGCATATATGCAAAGTATTTTGATTTATTTGAAAATAATTGAAAATAGATTTTTCAAGGACGGTGTCGAGGTCACGGGGTCGGTGTCGTTTTTCGAAATTTGTTAACTTAATATAATAGAAGATTTTTTTGAAGGTAATAAGTGTTGTTTTACAAAAAGAAAATAATACACACATGCTGTTTAAGTTTATTTTATTGTATAAGCGATTTTTTCATTTTCCAGGAAAACATTCTT